TGAGTACAAAAGAGCTACAAAGGATGTGAAGGAAAAACTGTACACCCAGAAACCTTACTTTTTATTTATTTATTATTTTGTTCTTTTTGAGACAGGGTCTCCTTGTAGCCCCAGCTGTCCTGGAATTTGCTATGTAGACCAGGCTGGCCTCGAACTCACAAAGACCCACCTGCCTCTGCCTCCCAAGTGCTGGGATTAAAGGTGTGCGCCACCACGCCCGGCAGAAACCTTACTTTTTAACATTTTATTTATTATTTTATGTGTATGAGTGTATTGCCTGCATGTATGTAAGTGCACCTGTGTCATGCAAAGCTTGCAGAGATCAGAAGAGGGTGTCAGATCCCCTGGAACTGGAGTTATAGATGGCTGTTAGCCACCATGTAGGTGCTGGGAATCAAACTCAGGTCTTCTGCAAGAGCAGCCAGTGCTCTTAAACCGATGAGCCATCTCTCCAGCCCGTAACTAGAAATTTTAACACCTCTCTACTAATGCTTAACAAAATACCTAGACAAACACATACACACACACACACACACACACACACACACACACACACACACACAGACACACACACACAGACAATGCAGAGAGCTAGAGTGTACAATGCTTACCAGGAAGTACAAGGCCTGGGTTCAGCTTCCAGTACCAAAAAAAAGGGAAGGGAAGGGAAGGGATGGAGGGCTGGGAAGGAATTCTACTTCCCTCAGCAGGTCTAATTGGGAACTAAGAGTACTTCACCCAACTGCAGCAGAAAACACATTCTATTCGAGCATCCACAGAACAAATCACAAGATAGTTCACACTTTGGATCATAAAACAAACCTCAACAAATATAAAAGAATTTCAGTCATAGACTATGTTGTCCAACAACTGTGGAATTGAACTAGAAATCACAACCAGAAAAATAACAGGAAAATCTCCAATCACTTGTAAGAAAGTGTATTTCAAATCCTGTCTCAAATTAACCTCCATCACCAAAAAAAGACACAGCTAAAACAGTAAGAGTACTGCTAAATGCCTTCATGAATATAACGCAAAAATCGTTTCAAAAGCAGAAAAGAATTACATATGATGACCAAGTGAAGTTTTTTTCAGAGCTGCAAAGCTGATCAAGATTCAAAAATTAATCCACAGAATCCATCATATCAAAAAGGGTCTGTAATGTAGCTCAGCGACAGGGTGTGGCCACCATATGAGGAAAGGAGAATGAAAGATAAAAGGGGACGGGGAGGGAAGGACAGGACAGAAGGGGAGGGAGGGG